CACACACACACACACACAGACACAGACACACTCACACACACAGACACACACACAGAGCACAATATAAATCACTGCTCTACCCAAATAACACATTCATCTCCGTTTTGACCAGAAACAGATACATACAAATGTCTAAAAAATGCAGTAAGGGAACGAAACTTTGCAAATGCTTTAATACACATCATATATTTTTTCAGATTTTTTTTGAATTATTTTTGAAGAGATATAACCATTTAAAATATTCGGGTCATTTTGACCCGGGAATGTATGGAGCACTATTAGGGGTCCAAAACACTTTTTGCAAAATTATCTATGAAGTTATTTTAGTGTCAACATTTTTAAAAATATATATTTAGCCATTTCTCCCATATCTTTTGGACTGAATTTTATTGATGAACATGAATATGTTGGCAATTAATGAAATACTGCAGCATGAAAAATTTCTCACTTTTTCATCTGAAAGTGAAGGTTCATGCAAGTAAAATGAATTTATTTTGACTGAAAACTTTTCAGAGTAATATTTAAGTTGTTTTGTCATGAATAAATATATATGTTTCATAAATTTGGACTGATTTTGAGCAATTCAAAGGGAGACGACCTGCCGACGGAGGATATTAGAGCCGCGCTTTCATTTGCAGAGAATGTCAGAATAAATGTCAGAGAATAGGTCAGACGGCCCTCAGGGGCCCGAACCCGTTCATTTCACACAGCCAAAGCATTACGGATATACGGATATATTATCAGAGCTTCGTTAACAGACAGACATTAAACACGGCGCTAATGACGCGCACTGACCATCAAACCAGGACCGCAGCAATTCACTCGAGAAGCTATTCATATGAGCATTACTTGCTTGATTCATTAAATAAAATTATTTCCGGCATTTTACTGAAAATCTAATTATTTCTCATCTTGAGAATCGAAGGCTGTACCAAACGTCAAATCAGTGTTATTCGAGGTTCTATTATTGCTCCTCTTTATATTTTCAATTACATTTTATCTAGTCTTAACTTCAATTTTAGTTTTTTAAAGTAATTTTTATTAGTTTTATATTATCTACTTTTAGTTGTTTTAGTATTTCAACTTAAACTAAATTAAAATAACAAATGAAATAGATGAAATTAATAATGTTTATTTTATTTATAAATGTTTTTAATGGATTTATTGTAACTATAATAACCTTGAGTAAAAAAATTATGTAGAACATAAACATTCAGCTCGGACCAAACTAATCACACAAACATGTTCATTGATAAGTAGCAGCTCTAAATGTTTTAGAACTATCATTAATATTTTTATTTAATATATATTTATTTATTATCGCGAATAGCGAATGCATTTAAAAGCCACTTTGACAGAATCCACTCTGAAAAAAAAACATTCTGTAGGATTTACTTTTTAAATGCATTCATGTCTTTACAGTGCAGTCTGGATTTATTGGCAGCTCGTGTTGTTCTCGTGGATTATAGGACTCTGAGTTTGTAGAATATCTCAGAACGACTGTCTGGTGTGTTTTTAGTACCGTCTACGCAGGACGGAGCCGCTCTGGTGGTTCCTGCCACTTGTCCCGGGAAACACGAGCACTTGACGGTCAGCGAACGCTCCTCGATCTTGTTCTTATTGCAGCATCGGTGTAACGCCACCACCTCACACGTTCCCATCCGCACGTCATGCAGCACTGCAACACAACACAACCTTCATCACTTTCACTGAAATACACATAAATATACAAAATAAACGTATAGCATTTCTCATTTTCACTTAGTGTAACTTGATGTACTAAAATAACTAAAACTGGAATAAAAACATATATAAATTATAGATTAGAAATTTTTTAAAAATTCAAAAACTATTTGAAAAATTAAAAAAAATGTTTTAACTAAAATTAAAATTAAAACAGATTCAAAAATAATTCAAAATATGAATAAAACTATAATAGTACCTCAATGATACTAAAATAACACTGGAACACAGTCATCATCATAGACATTAACAACAACAACAACAAAAAAGCCTGTTTTTTTTAAATACAAAATTAAAATATATAAAAATAAATAAATAAATAAAAAAGACAAAACATTCAACAAAAATACTTCAAGAACAGAAAATGTAAAAAAAAAAAAAAAAAATTATTATAAAATGTAAAAATATTTTTTAAAACATACAACAAAAATATATTACAGTAAAAGAAAACATAAAAATTAAAACTAATTCAAAAAAATGAATAACCACATAATGTTGATGATATTAAAATAAGACTGGATCACAATCATCATCATCAGTGTGGTCAGTGGACGCAGTGAGGGACGAGCTCAGCTAAACTCCGTTCACACACACTTCAGTACGGATCAGGAGAGAAACCGCTTTCATGAAGCCAGTGTGACAGTCACTGTCCTTCCTCCCGCTGAGCTGGTGACGCGCAATTATTCACACGCTGCGGCGCTCACTTTT